TATTCTTCCTACCAAATCTGACTTTGTTCTATTTCAGTTCACTAATTCACACCAATTCAAAGTGATATATATATATATATATATATATATATATATATATATATATATATATATATATATATATATATATATATATATGTGTGTGTGTGTGTGTGTGTTGTGTGTGTGTGTGTGTTATACATCATTCTTAAGAATGTCTACTGGATGGGGGTATTTTTTCTATTCTCATAGGCATTTTTATCTTATTTTTGATTTAGATAAGGACAAAGATTCCCTATTGAAAATAAAAAATATGTTAGTTCTCTATATAAATTATTATTATTATTATTAAATATTAAATTAATTTCTTTAACACATAGGTCAAGAGGAAGAGGATGTTAATGTTGAATGTTGATATTATTTTATTTGATTCATTCTTTAACATAGTTTGATTTGAATTAGGTAAGTGATACCAGCATCTATGCCCATATTGTTGAGACGAGGACAGACACTACTTTACCATTCCTACTATATATTCACATAAATAATATAAAATATACTCATCTCATTTCATTATAAATGGATCTTACGTATTCGTACCCATGAGTATAATTAACAAGTCGACACCTTTAATTATTTTGGGTGTAGAGATAATTATTATACGTAAGCTTAGCACTATATTATTTCTAAAATATTTTAATATATATATATATATATATAATAAGACATAAATTGAAGGCATGTATTAATTTATATCAAGGTAGTGCTGTAGATTTAAACATAAAAAATAACGAAAAGAAAGGATGCCTATTGATTGTTATTAAGAAAAAAAAATTCCTTAATTAATTTGATAAATAGACACGTGTGAAACGCACGTAATCTCCTTTATAATAATACCGCTGAATTGGAATGATGAGTATATAATTATATATAGACGCGACTCGTGTGCACATCAAACTGCGTGCCTACACAACTTAGTATATTGACGTACTACAAGACGTGTTCTTTCTTCGTGCGCGCGTGCGAGTAGCACGTGTTCACGTTGAAAGCTTTTGCGTGCGAAACCAGAGGTAGGCAGAGCAGTGAGGCCATCATCATTCGAAGACTTGGGGAAGAAGACCGCGACCATTCCTTTCCTCCAAATAGGAGCGCCGTGCTTTGACATTAAGACTCGCCCTCTCTCGCCCTCCACCGAGGAGATCCGTGCACCGCCATGGATGGCTTCTCCTCCCACCCTCCTCGTTTCTTCGAGTGGCTCAAGCCTCCATCCTCCTCTCCTCCGCCTTCTCCGGTTCGGCAGAAGGCCGTCAAAGAGGAAGACAAGGCGAGTAAGGATACCGTCGCTCTGCGTATCGGATTGTCTCCTGCGTGGGGAGCCGTCTTCGTGGAGGAGGAGGAGGAGGAGAAGAAGAAGAAGAAGGTGGAGGAGCTGTGCGCTGTGGACAGCGGGAGTAAGTACTGGATCCCAACACCGGATCAGATCCTCACAGGCCCAGTGCAGTTCTCTTGCTCCGTCTGCACCAAATCCTTCAATAGGTACAACAATCTGCAGGTCAGACACGGCAATCCCTTCTCTCTTTCCTCGTGCACCAAACTCCAGACATGGATTTACGCTTTGTTCTTGCACTAAATTGTCTTACGAATAGATGCATATGTGGGGTCACGGATCAGAGTACAGAAAGGGGCCAGAGTCTCTCAAAGGGACGCAGCCAATGGCGATGCTGAAGCTCCCATGCTACTGCTGTGCTCATGGGTGCAAGAACAACATCAACCACCCCAGAGCGAAGCCACTGAAGGACTTCAGGACCCTCCAAACGCACTACAAGAGGAAGCACGGGGTGAAGCCCTTCACGTGCAGGAAATGTAGGAAGGCCTTTGCGGTGAGGGGAGACTGGAGAACCCATGAGAAGAACTGTGGGAAGTTGTGGTCTTGCACTTGTGGGTCTGACTTCAAACACAAGCGGTCACTGAATGACCATATCAGGTCATTCGGCAAGGGCCACTCTCACTACCTTCCTTCGAAGATTCCTCAAGGACAGCAGACATGCATTATAAGGTTCGACAATGGAGATCTCATGTGCAAGTATGAAGCTTCCTGACATGCCAAGCTGATCAGATCTCGTAGCAAACAACATAGAAGGAGCCGAAGAAGAGGATGAGCAGTAGTATAATAATACCATTAGGTGGTTTGTTCATGTGATGAATAAGACAGATAGAGAGAGAGAGAGAGAGAGAGAGAGAGAGAGAGTATTATCTCAGAAAAAGACTATGAAGTAGGTGAATTTTCTTCATCTCAGTGCCATGGCACCTAAGAAAGAGATCATTTGTAATCTTCCTGATGGAGAAAATTTCCCAACTTCATGGATACCTTAATTTCTAAAGGGAGGAATATTTCTTGTTTGCTTCTCTCTGGATTGCTTATGTACTGAACTTTTCATTAACATTATTATACATATATATGTGATGTTTCTAGATAGATAGACAGATAGATCAAGAAGAATATATTATGTAACGCATAAAGAAGATCTTTGCGCATGCTTAATAGAAAGTGGATATCTATAATGCTTGCTTTTTAGTGCACAAGCGCTTAAAGAGGAGGAGCAATTAATGAGCATTAGGATCATGTCTTGACTTTTAAGTCTACATAGGTGACCACCTTTCTCGAAGTCCAACTTTGAGGCCACAACCAAACCACCACAAACACCATTCCTGCAGAGAGAGAGAGAGAGAGAGAGAGAGAGAGAGAGAGAGATGGCATTGGAGGAGATGACCAGGTAAAGAAAAGGTGTGGGAAAACTCTGAGGGGGGTGTTTGAACTTTGTGACTGACAGATGAATATAAAGGAGGGTTATGTGGAAAAAGGATGGAAATATGGGGTGGAATGGGACGGCCACCAAGCTTTGTCGGAGAAGACACGGTGAAAGAAAGAGTCTCTCTCCCCTCTCTCCCCTCTCTCTCTCTCTCTCTCTCTCTCTGCTATTCCATGGTCAGACCTTCTTTCTTCCAATGCTACTGACTGGTAACAGTTACTCGTGTTCTGTCTGAATTGGAATCGAATCCGAAATTAATTTAAGAATATTTTTTTTATTACATGACTACTCAACAAAAAAAAAAACTTTAATTTTAGTTAAAAATTATAAATCCTGATCGAAGATTTACAAATTTAAAAGTTTATCGATCAATAATATAATAAACAATGAAGTTTATCTTCAAATCAAATTTAAAATATTAAAATTATACATCTAATTTAATATAATTTTTTTATTTTATTTTTATATTTGGCCATATAAAAAGAACAAATTATTATAATTCGAATCATCGTAAGATAATAAATAAATTAAGTTCTTTCCAAGTCCACAAGTTGTAATTTTTTTTTATAATTTTCTTTTTTGATGTTTATTGTGGTGTGAGAAATTGATGACTCAAAAAAAAAATTATTTTTTTATTATTTTAATTTCGTAAACATAGAGATCCCAATATAACTTTTAAATATATAAGAATCGAAATATTAAAGATAATTAATTATAATATATAAATATAATTAATATATTATATTTCGATTATTATTAGAGGCGGTGGAGCGAGGAGGACATCTCCTCTCTTACCCGCAGGCCGTGTAACGGAGATATGCTCGGAGGAGATCGCGATAGCGGCTGAAGCGGAGGTCGATAGCGGCCGGGATCCCAAAGGAGCCACGGCTAATGGCGCAGAGTCCGTGGCCCTCTCGGCATCCCTTCTCCTCCGCCATCCTTGCTCTTCTTTCCTGCCTCTCCACGAGAGAGAGAGGGATAGGGAATCTGTTGAGCGGCTGATATCAAAGCTCACTCGGCACATCATCGACCTTCCCGATCTGATTTGCAACCACTAAATTAATATCTAATCAACATGTATTACAGTAAATGTGCCCACATGTATTATTGGCCCTTGAAGCCACGATCGCAGAAGATCCCCAGCGATAGGGATCAGGATTGTAGTGGGTTTGCGGCGCTGAGGCGAGAGGCCCCACCGCGTGGGACCGTGGCTTCTAGCAAATGGACGGGCTTCCTTCGCTGTTTCATGTCTCCGACAGACACTGGGCTTTCGACTTTAAGTGCTCCCTGCGTTGAGACTTCGCCAACAACGCATGACGCATCATCCTACGCATCCATGCCTCGTCTCCTGCTGACTCCCCCCACAAGATAAGTCCCAGCTGAGTGATTAGAATACAACAATGGATGTCGAATCACATCACCGTGATTACTCTCGCCAACCTCTGATCGCCATCCGTTTCCCCCGACATCATCATATAGTTGGTTCCGAGTACCGACTCCAACCCCCATCGGAGGAGGACGCAATGGAAGAAACAGTAGGAGCGCTTTGGTCACTCTTCTCCTTCCTCCTCCTTTTCTTCGCCGGCTCCCTCGTGCTGTTGGCGGCGTTGCTGAAGTTCCTGAGGTCCATGTCATGGTGGTGCAGCTGCTCCGTGTGCGAGGCCTACGTGACCGGCTCCTGGACCGCCCACTTCGGTAACCTCTGCGACTGGTACGCCCACCTACTCCGGGAGTCGCCCACCCGCACCATCCAGATCCACGTGCTCGGGAACACCGTCACGGCGAACCCCGACAACGTGGAGCACATGCTACGCGCCCGCTTCGACAACTACCCCAAGGGGAAGCCCTTCTCCGTCATCCTCCGGGACCTCCTCGGCCACGGAATCTTCAACGTCGACGGCGACCTCTGGCGCTTCCAGCGCAAGATTGCCAGCGCTGAGCTCGGTAGCGCTGCCGTCCGCTTATTCGCCTCCTGCATCGTGGCCGACGAAATCCGGGGTCGTCTCCTCCCCCTCCTTGACTTCGCCTGCGCCGGCGATAAGATCCTGGACCTGCAAGATGTGTTCCGGAGGTTTGCTTTCGATAACATATGTAAGATCTCGTTCGGGCTCGACCCCCGCTGCCTGGAGCTGTCGCTGCCTTTGTCCGAGTTCGCAGCGGCCTTCGACAAGGCCTCGAGGCTATCGGCCAGGCGGGCGACCACGACGACGCCCATAGTGTGGAAAGCCAAGCGGCTTCTCAACTGGGGATCGGAAAGAGAGCTCCGGGAGGCGATCGGCATGGTGAACCTTCTCGCCATGGAGATCATTCGCCAGCGAAGGAAGCTCGGGTCCTGCTCTAACCACGACCTCCTCTCTCGATTCATGGCCAGCGTCGACGACGACAACTACCTGCGGGACATCATCATTAGCTTCTTGCTGGCCGGCCGTGACACGATCGCGTCGGCCCTGACTA